CTCCAGTTTCGAGATTTCCCAACCAAAAGCACGAAACAGAAGATAATATGAAACTAATTAAACTAAACATTTGAAATGTCAATAAAGTCCCAACAAAAATGTCAATTTTCTCCATACAATGTTTTTTTTACGTGATACCTTTATCCACTTGTGTCTTCAATTACTAAGTACTCTATTGAAAAGAACAGTGGGATAATTTTAGAAAAAAGGATGTATTTTTAAAAATGCATGAACGTGTCGATTGTCGATTAAATTGCCGTCTAATGTAATTTGTAAATAGATGAACCACTGTTATATTGGCAATCATATTTTTAGAAGTGTTTCAGTATGCACATAACGTATGTACGTTTCTTGGGGAAAAGAAAGAACACAAGAAAATATTTTTTATATTTGATGCCAGGACTCCCTTGCGACAGCTCAGCTGTCCAGTCACAGAAGTCCAATGCTATCACATCATATTCTTAAACAAAAAGTCGTGAGGCTGAAATTTCGGTAGATCTACAAAATAAACATTAGATTGGTCGTATTACACTTCATTTCGACTCTTTTAATTGAATTGGAAAATAAATGTTACTAGGTTCAACTTCTATGTGTTAGAATAACATGCATTTGCGAGCTAATACATATTATTCATGCTTATTGCTATTAGCTTGGAAGCACTACAAATATATCAACTGTCAACAGTAGTGGAAAAACGAATACTAGAGATGGGGCTGGAAGGATGCGTTCGCAAATATTCACAAGTGCAAATTAGGGTGAATCCACGACATGAATATGTTCATCAATGCGTAAACACAATATTCACCCCGGAACCTGTTATCTTAATTTGTTACAAGCCTGAAAGAGATCTGTGGTTGTTGTGGGTAGATCAAGTTTGACAGTTCGATCTCACAATGTTCGAAAAATGACATCTCGCCCCTAAGTACGGCTTCGAGCGAGATTTTTACTTACTTACTTCAAGTGCCGCTACGATCAGTGCGAGCTTATTTAAATGTGGTACTGAGTTGTTTTTGAGTTTGTCGTGAATGTTATATGAATCAGATTCGAAAAACAGGACAATTATAGTGACACTTCATAAACACTGTTATTATAAGTAACCTTGGGGGTCGTCGCGTCATGGTCTGTCACAATGGGATGCATTGCACAGGTGCTCCGCAGTCGATAATTATGTATATATCGATACTATTATTACTTTCAAATGAACTGGTTTATTGTGTCATATAACAATGATATATATATTTTTATCGAATCCACATTACTTGGAAAAAGAATGTCAAATAGAAATTCAAATGGATAATAAGTTTAGTTTCAGCTGATCGTTTGTGTTTATCGTAGGTACAAATTTATTGATAATTATGATGAATAACGTGCGGTATTCCAGATACGAATTCATTTTAACGAGTGTAGAGTACCTATGTTGTATAAAATAAAGCGAGTCTGCCATCGAGGTATACTATTGTATTAGGGCAAATTCCACTTGTCATTGACGTGTATTGATTATCATAAATATCGTTATAATTTATATAAGTTAATATCGTTAGTATCTGAATTCGAATACACACCCCATCGCTAGTCGACAAAGACGCACAAGAAAGATGGGTTTCCATTTTACATGTTGCAGACTTTTTTTTCTGTTGCATAATTTCTTATCCGGTTTCTACCACTTTTTCTAAAGTTGTACAAAGCAAAGGCAACAGTGTATATTCGTCTAAATCAGATAAAGGTGTTTGAAATGTTTGAAACCCAGAAACATCTCTATTCACCTTGGACGACAACGTGCAGATTGGGTTCAACAGCAAAAACATGTGCTAATGGAAGATAATTCAGGAGTTTGTTTTGAATATAGTTTTATCATCAACAAGCAGTGTTTTAAGTTTTAAGGAAACACTTTCTAATTCGTCATTGTTGATCCGGATCATAGGTTTTGATCTCCGGATCAAGTGGAAAAATATGTTTTGGTAGATAACCCAGGTAATTTATAAAGATTTTCGTTTTTCTGAAATTTTAGAAGAAATCGACTATATCCATTTGATCCAGTACTACAAAGACGTATCAAGATTTTAGATCTCGGGGATCAATACTAACAGCGGGCCTTAGAAGTCGTTTTGAAGCCGACACGCGATTTTTAAAAACTGTGAGCGTGATACAACCGGGAATAACATATTTTAGGAAGCTCGTCAAAGTAAATGCAAATGGCGTCGTACGAGTATTCGCTGAGCGACTTACTGCTCATTGACTTTTAAAGAACGAGAATATCAGCCCAGATTTCTAATTCCGCGACTACTTTAGAGTTATGGCATCAAAACATTATGAAATTATACTAATATATATATATATATATATATACGAGTATATATATATATATACAGGGTGGCGCATCGAAAACGAAATAGACGCATTTACTGGCAGCTCAGTTTTTTTTTGGAAAAACGCTCAGACCCGTTGATTTTGTTTTCGAGGGGGACACAAGTTTGGCAAAAAAATCACTTTAACACGTGCAGCCCCCTGGGCGGGGGTGACACCAACCATAAAATCTTAAATGGAAAGGGGGGTCGAGTGATACCTTATTTTAAAGGTCTTTCAATTCCCTTTATAATGATGTAAAATACATGAGCTTCAGTTCAGTAGTTTTGAAGATTTATTGATTTAAAGCTTAAAGCAGACTTTAATAGGTACATCAGATTAGTTTGTACTACTCTCAGAAGAAATTTGACTAAAAGAATTTACTTAATAAGTAAATGCTTTTGTGCACTACGCCCATGGTTTGTTTATCATTTTGTTGTTGAAAATAGCTATTGGAGCGTTTTTTGTGGCAAAAAAGTTATTTCTTGAAGAAAGATAAGGAAATATCTCGTACTTATTTTAAATAGGAATTTAGTACATAGTTTGCGATTGATTTGACCAAACTTTGTTGCAAAAATAACTTGTAACGCTTTATTACATAAATTAACCATGGCATATTCCAGAGCAGAAAGAGTTGAAATTATCGAAATATTTTTCGGAAATAATCAGTGCGCTAATAGAACAGCAGAAATATTTAATGAGCGACATGAGAGCAGTAAGGTGCATCGAAAATATGTTCTAGAACTTGTAGCTAAATTTCGGGAAACTGGGTCAGTCGCCAATAAAAAACGCAACATTGAAAATCCCATAAGGAACGAAGCAATAGAAATGGTGGTTTTAGGGCAAGTTTATGTAGATCCTACGTTAAGTACCCGCAAATTGGAGACTGTGTGTGGTGTTAGTCGACGTACTGTCCAACGGATTCTAAAGGCCCATAGTTTTCATCGCTATAAAATTCACCTGGTACAAGAACTTAATGAAGACGATTTTGATCGGAGATTACAATTTTGTGAAGATATGAGTGAACGAATTATAAACGATGAACATTTTCTATTCAACACTTTCCGACAAAGGTCTTAAATGGTGTAGTAAATGGTCATAACTGCCGATATTGGTCTGATTCTAATCCCAGAGTTTATCATGGGGTTCATACACAGCAGCCACAAAAATTAAATGTTTGGGCTGGTATTTTTGGCGATCATCTAGTTGGTCCTTTTTTCTTACCTGGAAATTTGGCCGGTGAAATGTATTTGGAATTACTGGAAGACGGCATATATCCTGCATAATTTGAAATCAGAATGATCGGCGGTACATTGCGAATAGGTTGATGTTACAACAGGATGGTGCACCACCACATTACGCATTACGTGTTCGACAATATTTAGATCAGCCGTTTCCAGATCGATGGATTGGTAGAAGAGGTGCCATTCAATGGCCCCCAAGATCGCCCGATTTATCACCTTTGGATTTCTTTATGTGGGGTCATTGAAAGAGCAAAATCTATGCTACTCGGCCAACATCATTAGAAGACCTGCGACGTTTTGAGCAAAATCTTTATTATTGCATGGAGAGACATGGTGGCCATTTTCAACATTTACTTGCCTAACGGGTCAGTTCATTTCTCATTTTTAAATTACTTTGCTGCCAAATGTATTGATCTCCACTAATGATGATGCATTAGTTTTATTTAAGCTTTAAATCAATAAATCATCAAAACTACTGAACTGAAGTACATTAATTTTATATCATTATAAAGGGAATTGAAAGACCTTTAAAATAAGGTATCACTCGACCCCCCTTTCCGTTTAAGATTTTGGGGGTGGTGTAACCCCCGCTTAGGGGGCTGCACGTGCTAACGTGATTTTTTGCCAAACTTGTGTCCCCCTCGAATACAAAATCGACGGGTCTGAGCGTTTTTCAAAAAAAAAAACTGAGCTGCCAGTAAATGCGTCTGTTTCGTGTTCGATGCGCCACCCTGCATATACGAGTATATAGGGTGTTCCATCCGTCCCTTCTTTTTTTTAATTAAAAAAAAGCAGACACTTTCTATAAGTGAGAAACCGAACTCTTCATTAAAAATTGTAGGTTGGTCTTTGCCGTTTAGTACTTTTTAAAGATCGTCCATCTTCGTAATAGTTTTGATCGACCAAAATGCGATCTTGCGTTATTAAAGAATCCATAATAACAAATAGCAGACCTTTGACACTTCATATGTGCAAAACACATGGCAGTTGACACATTTAACATGTCGAAAAATGGTAGTTGAAGAAAGAAGCAATAGCTGAAACATCCTATATACGTTTTTCAGAGCTTCCGTGTACTTTTGGACGTTGAAGAGAAAATGTTTGGAACCTTTTGACGCTTTAGACTTTTTCCAAAATGATAAGAAATTTTCAAATATTCTATACGGTGTTTGGTATTCCATCGAGTTCTTGGGTATGAAAAATCTTTGCCCATATTTTTATATCTCATATCATCATTGAGTAATGAGCATGCTGTCAAGAATATTAGGTGTTCAATACAAAAACAGCTTCATATCATTGCATGGGCAGTACCAAATTAATCTGCCTAACTCTATTTTACTTAGAAAGGAATTCCCCCAAAAATATCTTCGTAAATTTAGGTGTTAATACTATGCAATCAATGACGAATGATATGGTAATTTACCGCTCACAGTCTACTGTTTAATGCAGTTCATCAATCGCGTTATCTCTGTTTACAAACATTGCAAGATAAGTTCTGAGTCATACATTACACCAGAAGGAATCCCCTAAACACTGTGATAGCGGTATTTTACCTTGTTCCATGCTGATGTATAAAAGCAGTAGCATCTTAACAGATGTTAAGCAGTACATTTAGTTCCTCTTACAGCAGTATTCCTAAGTAATAAAATAGACATATCCAAGATGAAATACATCCTCCTCATCGGATTCTTCCTGGTAGCAGTTAGTGCTACTCCTCTAGAGATAGCTGAGGATGAAGAAGGTCAACAGTATTATATGGTGCCTCTTAGCAGAGTAAGAAGGTAAGAGATATCTTATAAAGTATAGTTTTAGTTAAAAGGCGAACATTTTCGAGCAACATGAGCTACTAGTGACAGTTTTATTTTCAGAGATGTTTCATAGACTGTAAAAATTATGAAAAGCTACTAAATAAAAAGAGTTCGCTATTAAAAACTTATGGTGTAATGGAGAATTTTTATTGACGACATTTGTGATCGAACTTTGTTTTTCACTCGTGCATTACTATTTTTACAAGATTGTTTTATAGGTATTTCAGTGGATAAACGATAATAATTACATATTTCATTATTTTTACTATTATTAAACGCGCCCCACCTTGACTTATTTTTTTCTGCTTATAAGCAAACTTAACTTTGAATGGGAGCTCACCAGTGACACACTGAACTACAAGACAGCGCTGGAGTGCATAGTTAGATGTTAATTCCGATTATCTAAAGATCAGGGTTAAAGAGCGACGTTTAGATATACTTAGTGACATTAGAAGTGTTACACGTAGAAAAAATTATTTCTTCAACTTAATTTTTTTGCAATGAGGTAGTCTTACATCAAGAATGAAGCGATAACATTCTCAGGAAATTTTATCGACAAGTGATAAGGAAAAAAATTAATATTGTGTTGGGGGACCCCGCAGCTGAATACACCCCTGTATACGTCTAGGGATCGACAAAATGAGATGATGATTTAGCTATCTGACGCATAGTAGCAAGACGGTCTCGTGGACCAGTTTTCCTTCTTTTTGTTCCTCTACCTTCTTCTATCTACACACGACACACACGCATTACCGTCATTGCAGTACAATTATCACGGCGGCCAATTTCGCGATAGGGCAAACCAACATCTCGATAGGCAATAATTGTACTCCTGTCAGAGTCGCTAACATGGTGATAATTTGGATGTATTCGAACTCGAGGTATTTTGTTATGCTTAACACTACTAAATGAAAGGGCAATAACTAAAAATATCTATGCTACTCAGCACTCAGAAGCTACTTTCTTCACAAAAACTAAGATATAACATTTTAGCGAAGGTAAACAAACACAAAGATAAAACGTTGACATTGTTGCCAGAGCATGCTTCAAATATAGTCATTATGTTGTCAAAAAAACATGTTGCAGAAATTATCTTTTGGGTTGGCTTCTAAGGTCACTGGGTATATATCATATATGCACATTCAAAGTTTCTTGAGTATAGCGAAAACTGCAGAATCAGTTCCAGAACATAGAAACTAGTGGTTAAGCCAAAAGAGCAGGATATTGATATCAAATTGTATAAGGTTCTGTTCTGGAATTGTACTGTTTGCCAGATTTTTCTCAAAATGCGTCTTCGAATAGATATTAGGGGGTTGATGAGGTGTGCATTTTGTATAATCTAAGTATCAGTCTTAAGGTGTTTGCCTCGATGGGAAATATTTAGCTACTTTGACATTGACTGTTAATACCACCCGGACAGGAAATGGATCATGCAACCATTACTACCCTACAACTGAATAGAGCAACAAGTATATAGGATATGCAATCTACTATCTACAGGGTGAATAATAGCGATGTGGCATTATCTCCAGAGTAGTAGGTACATCCAAAAATAACAAAAAGACATAAGTAAGCTTCTACACCACTGATGAGACTAAATAAGGATAAAACGTGGATATTGTTCAAATAACGTTATAGTAAGATACGTTACTCTCCTAATACACTACATACAATTTCCAGTGTCAAACTTAACTCGCTACAGCATATTTTCAAAATAGAATAACTTGAAATTACTCAGACCAGTCGTAATTTTTTTCTATTTCAGGGCAGGAACTTCAACACCATGTACCTCGGTAAGAGGGCATTTTTTTAAAAAGATGCTTTTCGAGTTTTGGATCTACTTTCACTCCAACAACATTGTCATGATTTTCCGAATATCTTACTTTTCTCCGCATGACCTTCTTACTCTATACAAAGCCCAGGTAAGGCCTAGCCTCGAGTATTGCTCACACGTTTGGGGTGCTGCCGCCCCGACTACATTATCCGTGCTCGATGCTATCCAGAGGAGAACGGTTCGACTGATCGATGACCCTTCTCTAACAGACAGTCTCGGGACTCTTTCGCATCGGCGGGCCGTCGGTGATCTAGCTCTTTCCTATCGCTACACCAACGGGTTTTGCTCTGCAGAGCTCTCTTCCATGATGCCGCTCCTGCCTGCCAGACAGACCCGCCTGACTTTGGCGTCCCATCCTAACCGTGTCGAACTTCGTACATCAAGAACTGGCCGATACGACCGCTCCTTTGTCCCGAGGGATCATCATAGCAGCCGCGGTGTTCCAGCATTTAGGCTTCAGTCTGCGTGGCTGATTCGATATATATAAAAGAAAGCCCCATACTATATTCAGGAAGTAGTGGAGCCTCATCTTATTCCATACCTAAACACCATCCAAAAACCGTTTCAGTAAGACAATGCCAATCCGCATGTTGCCAGAGCACCGTTAGCTTTCATGGATCAACATCACATTAACCGTTTACCTTGGCCACCACGATCGCCTGGCCTATCTCCAATTGAACATGTCTCGGATATGACAGGTCGCGGGCTCTTGCATTTGAAACACCCTCCATAGACTTTAGCAGCTCTTACTCACGTAGTTACAGTAGCCTGGAATGAGATACCCCAACAAAATATCGACCACCTTATCAGCACGATGCCCAATGGTGTCACTGAGTGTATAAGAAATCTTGGATCCTCAACACATTGTTGAACCAGCTTCTGCAGTCAATTGACGAATCAAGTTGAAAATTTAATCATTTTACTAGTAAGGGATACATGACAAAAATTATTAAAATCGGATAAACATACGTAGGTGACTAACTTTTGTTGTCACTCAATATATTTAAACGAAACTCAAAATGCAGCACCACAACAAATGATATATTCTATATCACAATTTATCCCATAGGTTATTAAAGAGGTGCTGGGTATGATCTTGAGTCATGGTTTCTATACTCTCTTCATGAAGCTAATATTTCTTGCAGATCTGAGACACGTGGAGTGGTTAACGAACGCGGAGTCGGCGTGTCACACCAGGGGAACATCTTCAACAGTGGTGGACATCGCCTGGATGGATCAGCGTACGCGAACAAGAATTTTGGCTCCCATGGACTCAGACCTGACGCAGCCGGTGGACGGTTAGACTACAGCCACGGTTCCAAGACATCGGCTTTCGCAGGGGCAGACCATGTCAGAGGATATGGCACTGACGTTGGTGCTGGGGTCAGGCACAACATCTACAGGTGAGGTTCAGGGTTCAGGAATGGTTTCTCGAGATGCCATTCCACTTTCTCCTATTTTGGTATGTTGCGGACAAAATTACAGGCGTCTGATGCTCAATGATCAAAAAAGTATAGAAAATATTTTTGCTGGTAACATGAAACTACAATACAGCATTTCAAAGTTAACTCTGATGTCACTCCGCAACTGCCGCTACTCAAAGAATTCGAATAAGTTAAAAGGAGACAAATCTATGGGTTTACATTGCAGCGTTTGTCGATAAAATTGTTTATCTTTAGTGCATACTATTGGATCAATTGTCTACTATTGCCTACAGAAATGATAAACCGATACATCGGCGTATTTTATTTTCTCTGGAGAGGTATTCAAGTAATCAATCGTACTGGGTGTACTCACGCTTAACATAGCATGAAGCTATCTCTGTTGCGATTTAAGTCGCTCAGTTATTGTTAATAAACAGGGATAAATTAAATAAGGCAAAGAACGAAAGTAAACAGTTATTAACGATATTACACGAGAACAGTTAAACCTAATATCTGGTTTTGTAAGGTAAGTATTACGGACAACTCATTAAACAGCAATAATGGCACCTGATATTGTAAATAGTGGCAGACCTTGATTGAATTGTACTCGGTTTTTTAAAATAGTTTTTGTGATACGAGTAGATTATTGGCTAAAAGCAAATTCCTAGTTAAGCAAAATATGAAAATTACTGCTCTATATCATTATCACTATATTTATTCAATAAATAATTTGAAAGTAATTTAATTTTGATATTCATAGTTTCTTGGGGCCTACTGAGCTCCGTCAATAGAATCTCCTGACAATAAAATGACAACGTAAAACTACTTTTTATAACGTGAGAGTTGATACCATTTGTAAGAACGTTTAGATTCAAAATTAAAGTTGACAAGTCTCAAGGATAATGTTTCAGTTAGACCTTCAGTATTCATGAAAAAAATTAATATGTCTAAAATGCTTTTGATTTGTAATGTTGTTAGATATACAATCATGTTAACAAACCTTTCTCAAAGAAACAAAAGGTGAAGAAAACTGAAAAGATTCCAGGTAAAAGTCCAACGTTGAGGTACATGTCTTTTTACAAAGCCGATGACTACAATATATCAAAACTTGTCGATCAATTATTCAGTTTAAACGTCCTTTCGCATTCCACAAACCTTCAACAATTTCGACAATTGTCAGCAACACTAGGTCGATACGGAACCCACGCACTTTTATATGTTCTCGCTGAAAAACTGAATTTCCCGTTAAATGACAACATATGTCAAATTGACAGCTTAAGCCTTATCGACTTCCAACCTGAGTGTGAGATTTTGGAGACAAACAAATCATATACTTGCTCCTGCCACGTAGCGTGAATTTGCTGCGCTTCACCGACTTACGTTTCCATTACAAAACAAAATTCCTCAACATGCGCCGCATCATGTGTCGACAAATATGTGCCAAAAATTGGTACATTCTTCAGCATGTACCGCGACACTTGCGCCAAACATATTTTATTTTGCAACATGTTGTGCAATCTGTGCCATTCGTAGTCAATGTCTGCAATATGTTGCGGCACATGCGCCTTACCAGGTACGTCTCCACTTTCACAAACTGCAGGAACATGTTCCGCAATATTCGCCCTGTACATGTGCGAGCAATGTATAGTGCTTCAGTAATTTGGATGTCCGGGACCTGATTCTAACTCTGTACCTCAGGGCCAGACTAAGTTAAGTCCAAATAAGTAGTTTTGAGATGATTGTATTTGAAATATTTTTCTTGCATTGTTTTGTATGCGACTTGCTATCAGTTAAAAAACTTATTATTACAGATGCTGCATGTAGCAAATGGAAATTAAAAAATTATCATAAGCTTAACATATTAAACTTATTTTTGACAAAAATGGACTTAACCCAGTCTGGCTCTGGGGTACAGAACTAGATTTCCACCGTAGAAATCCATTCCGATATCGCCTTTACGTCATACATTTGGTGTCAAAATTTTATTATTTTTTTATTTTATTTCAAAGATCGAAATTTAGTTAGAATCACGCCCGTGATCATGTGATAACATTTACAAATCACATAATCTACTGACGGCTTATAAAAAATTTTTTACGAAGAAAAATTATGGCTTAATGGCTTACATAGCGTTGCTCTCTTTCAGCTCGAAAAATTTCAATGTTGATGCAGGAGCCAATTACGGAAGGCATTTTGGAGGTCCAGGAGGAACCGGTAGACCTCAAATGGGAGGATTTATTCGTGGCAGTGGCAAATTTTAATATAAAACCTAAATTATTAGTATAGTTTATTTATTATTTATACCTTGAAGGTTTAATAAATGTATAATAAATAATGATTTATATAATTTCCAATAATAGAGTCAACTAGATTGATTCGGTACTTCCCACGGCTTCGAAACAAGTTCTAATGCAATCTTCCATGGAGTGCAATCTCATCAAAAAGACGGTTTTGTCTGAACGAGTTGTGCATTATTTGGTCTTTTCGCGAAAAAAAAAACTGCATCAGATTGCAGCAATGAGCGTCGTTGGAGCTCTAGTGTAAATTTGTTTGTCAACAATGCTTAACTGATTATAATAGCTCTTGATACGTACTTATAGTACAATATATAGTATGATATATAATTATTTTCATAGACCAAGCATGATTATCGCATATACTTCGAAGTTGAGTCATTTATTTTAACAGTGAGTAGATCTGATCAAAAGAAATGTTTTTTCCTTTACCATTTTTCTGGTGAAATTAAAGTAACAAAGTTATAGCCCTTTGGAAGTTTGAGTACCGCCCTGTCTCAATAATAGTATTATGTGCTCGTGTTTGGCAACAACGGATATAATCCGCCTTATCGGTTCATCGCATCGGAAACAAAAAAGCGAAAGAATTTGGAACGATGTTTTTACAATTATTTTATTCAGTTGTATACAGTCAGTGTCAGTCGGTAACGCGTGAGTGAATAGTGGTGTCTGTTGCGTGGCTCAAACGAAATCAAAAATGGCACATGTTTACGAAAATGCTGAACTTGTGAACATGATTCTTATTTACGCGGCATCACGGATTTATGCGGATCGGTTTCCCAATCGAGTGCAACCAACCCCTCGTGCCTTTGTTAATGTAGTACAAAGGGCTCGTGAATCAGGTGACTTAAGACCTCACAGGGGAGTGCATGCCGGTGCTCCAAGACAATTTTTAAAAATCCTGTGTCAGCATCGCTAAATGATTTTCAATGGTTATGAAAACAATTTTCATATGCTGTTCTTCAACCTTGTGAGCTTTAATACATTTATCCAGATTTGCAAACATTTCTTTAAATTTCTGCTCCACAATTCCAATTTTCTACAAAAACCGTTGACTTTATCACGCGTATCCAATATATGTGTATTTGCTGCTTGGAGCGCTTTTTCGAATATGTCGACCAAGTAACTCAATTTCATCAGAAATAAACCATCTCGAAACATCTCGGCTTCTGGTCCATCTTCTTGTTCTAGAAAAACGGCGATTTCATGTCTTAATTCAAAAACACTTTGTAAACATTCCCCACGTGATAACCACCTTGCCTAGCAATAGAATAGTAATGCTGAATGTACTACACCCATATCTTTACCAAGTGCAGAAAAGATTCTAGTTTTCACAGGTCTCATTTTTATGTAATTAACTACTATTACAACCGTAGTCACAATATTCAGGCCAGGAGACATTCATTTGGAAGCCACAGCTTCTCTGTGAATCATGCAATGTGTCCAAATGCACAGTGCAAATTTTTGTTTTACAAGGGCTTGTATACTTTCAAATCTTCTGGACATTGAACGAGCCCCATCGGTGCGTACGAGGTTTGTTCAAGTATCGCAAATTTTGAATTTTCGCGGGCTACGTATGTTCGATTTTCTATCTTTTTCTGGCGTTATGTTGGTACTCATGACCCTCACTAATGTTGACAATATCGGTCATTTTGAATGTTCGGTCAGCTTTCGACAGCTATTGTGCGTTTATGTTCCTGTTTCAGCTTTTCTCTCTCCGATTTTTGTCTATTCCAAAAAATGGATCAAAGAATTTGTATTAAATTTTGTGTAAAAAAACAACTTGAAGTGCGCGGTCATTTTCCAAATGTTGACTGTTGCATACAGCGAAGCTACTTTGGACAAAAGCAACGTTTATCGCTCGCCCGAGCACATCAACAACAGACGAAAACATTGACGGGTTCATGCCGCAGGGTAGAACGGTCAATAAGGAATATTACCTTCGAGTAATGCGCAATTTGCGAGAAGCAATCCGCCAGAAACGCCCGGAGTTGTGGAAGAACAGAAATTGGCTTTGGCACCATGATAACGCCCCTGTTCATGCATCGTTACTTGTGCGCGAATTTTTAGCCAAAAACAACACTAGAATAATGCCTCACCCACCGTATTCCCCAGACCTGGCCCCCTATGACTTCTTGTTCCCGAAACTGAAGAGGCCCATGAAAGGACGACGCTACGCCACTATTGAGGAGATAAAGACGGCATCGATGATTGGAAAAAAGGTTATGACAAGTGTATAATGTCGAGCGGGGATTACTTTCAAGGGGACAAAATAGATATTCATGAATAAATAAATAATTCTTGGAAAAACATGAAATTCGCGATACTTGTTGAACAAACCTCGTATTTCGACGCAATTCTTCCACTCTATGTTTGCCTGGAGTATTTAAGATGGCAAATAATGCGAGATTTGTTGCTTTGAGTTTGATAGGTTTGCAGAAAGGTAGTTCTTCTACTACTGATATGCCATTACGAAATCGAACGTAGCCAATAAGATGAGCATCTTCATGTCTGTCCGTTGCCTAATCAGGCTGAATTGAAAACAACTTGTCTCGCAACTTCCCGAGTAAATGAGTCTGTACACTTTCAGCTATATCACCAATGCGACTGGTAACTGTATCATTTGACAGAGGTATGGATTCCAATTTTTTGGCAAAATTATCTCCAAACATAGTTTCTACAATTTCAATTGCAGCTGGCACAATGAGCTCTTCACCAATAGTGTGAAGCTTCTTACATCTGGCTATTTCATATGAAACTTTATAAGAGGAAAGTAAAGTTCTTTTATCCACAGTCTAAGTTTTTTTTAAAACAGTTTTTGCTGTTCGTGTGATTCTAATTTTAACTCGACGAAATTTATCGGAATTTGTTAACGTACTCACCATGAGGCGATTCCAAATGTCGTTTAAGTTTATTAGGTTTCATATTATCTGCTGCTAAAGTTTCTGAGCAAATACTCAGAGGCCTCTGTTCATTATTGACTTCAGTACATGTAAACCCATAATTTAAGTATTCTTGAGAATATTTTCTTGATTTTATTTTCGAAACCTCTTTCGCTTGTGCACTTGTGGATGCTTCACTAGTATCGAATGCTAGCTTACACCTACTTAAAAATGTATCCATGATTTTGTATAAATTTAAAAGAACTTCTGAGGATATATATATATATTTTAATATCGTGAACTGCAATTGACACGCAAATTAGAACATACGCATTCACAATAGATTTAGCACAGACAGAACAACTGGCTTGCATGAGACTGACCAGAATTGACGAGATGCGGCGTGTATACACGGTGAAAATAATTATTAAAATTTGGATCGCGAATGGTGAAATATTGAGAAACGCTGTTGAAAACGTCAAACAACGAAGTTGCAGCGACTTTTTTTTGTTTTTGGTATTTTTATCTGCCGCGACTTGGCCTATTACAAACACGCTATTTGGTACTTGGCTTACTAGTAACCGCCTATAAATTTAATAATTTCATCCAACTCCGAGCAGTGCTATCCAAGTTATAGGCTATTGCCTATGATTTGTGACAACTCAATAACATAACATCACATTTCCCAAATTTCTCACGATTCCAATACTTCCACGCCAGTAGGCGTGGACGTAAAATCCGCAGTTGGAGGCCTCAAAAACAATATAAATGTGAGCACATGCAGCTTTAATTGCCTAAGTAAGTTATAGCTATAAATTATTATTACGTTGGTATCATGGGATGGGATGAAACGTGCAATGTGTGTCACATCTGAACTCAAAAATAGATCTTCTATTCAAGGTCCAACAACTGAAACTATATGTTAACGTATTAAATCCATTCTAAGTGGAAGGACAGAAAGACTAAATCAATATATGCACTATATAATTTGAATTTTTGGCATTTGATACAATGTCCTATCTGCCCCACATTGATTGGCTAGTTGCGACACCCGATACGTTAATGGATTCCCTTACGATATTTTGCTGGTATAAAAATCTACGTAGTCATGCCATAAGTTCTGTCCCTCGTTTTCAAACAAGTGTAGACCTGTTAATACTTGTCCGATTGTTTACATTGTGGTGTCAGTTGATTAAGCGCTTTTCGGGTAATTACATATACCTCAGTTTGTATTGATCTCTCGAAGCATAACGATGGAGTGGGGCAAGGCAGAGAACCGTATTGCAGTGATAGCTTTACATAAGTGTAATCACAGTGCTAGTCAGATTTTTGAACTCTTACGCGGCCTTCAAATATCGCGTAAATTTGTGTCTAGGACCATTCAGCGGTACAATGAGACGTCCTCTGTTGATGACAGGCCAAGAAGCGGAAGACCTCGTCAAGTAAGGACTCCAGCAGCCATCAAAGCCGTAAAAGCCAGGATTCAAAGGAATCCACTCCGGAAGCAGAAGATCCTATCCAGGGAAATGAAGATTCCTGTCCGGACGATGTCGCGCATCATTAAACAAGACCTAGGGCTAGGGGCTTACCGGAGACGTACAGGCCAGCGACTTACGGCCACCTTGCGACACATCAGGGCGACAAGATCCAAGAAGCTCTTGGAGAGGTACGCAGCTGGGGGATTCCGAAAGATTTTGTTCACGGATGAGAAAATCTTCACCATAGAAGAAAAATTCAACCGACAAAATGACAAAGTGTATGCAAGGAGTTCACAGGAAGCTTCGGAGATCATTCCGAGAGTTGAGAGAGGCCACCACCCTGCGTCAGTCATGGTTTGGTGGGGGGTGTCCTACGAAGGGGTCACTCAGCTCCATTTCTGTAAACAGGGCGTGAAAACAAAAGCGGCAAACTATCAGAGCGACATACTGGATCCTATCGTCAAGCCTTTAAGTGGTACATTGTTTGCCAACCAACACTGGGTCTACCAGCAGGATTCCGCCCCCGCTCACAAGGCTAAGAGTACGCAGCGCTGGCTGGAAAGCAATGTGCCAGAGTTCATTGCTGCGGAAGATTGGCCCTCAGGGAGTCCGGACCTCAATCCTTTAGACTACAAGTTGTGGGACCTGCTAGAGCAGTTGGCCTGCTCCAAAGCCCACCGT